GAATTATAAAACATATCTTACAAATATATATATATATATATATATCTAATTTGGGCTATGAGTAAAGGATATAAAAAAGATAAGTTTCGTGCTATAAATTTACATACAATTTTTATTGCAAGCATACCATCATTTTTCGATTTTCCATATTAATTATAGTACTAAAATTTAAGACATTTAAGTATCTAATGTTACTTGTATAATTTTATTTATCTTAAAATTTTAAGCTTTAAATTAATCTCAAATTAAATTATGGTAAGTGAACATTAATTGATCATTAATTGATTATTTGAGCAATTTGATAATTAATTGCTTGCTAATTAGTTCGCTAAAACAATTTTGATATAATTGTGGAATATAAGTTACACATGAAAGTGTTCAGCAAATCTATTACATATGAAATATCAAATATTCATATTTGTTGGAAAATATTTTGTAAAATGATATTAGATTTGAATATGTAAATAATTATGTGAAAAACATTCTGTGAATTATACAAGTAATATACAATCTAGCATTTTTGTGTATTGATATGAAGGTGCCTGCGTGCGTGCGTACGTGCATGTACATATACATATATATACGTATATGTATATAGTTATATAAATGATGTACGAAGTAATTAACTGATTTACCCCAAAATCACATGAAATTGAAAATGTAATTATGAATATATAATATGAATTCTGTTTTCCAACAATTCGCATATGATTTTATTTTATTTGTACTTTCATTACTTTACGTGTAACCTCCCTTGCCATGTAAATCCTGAGCTCTCTTGTAAAATCATAATTTAAAAATGATTTAGAATATTTTTTCAAAAAGAGTTAAATTTTGTTTCAGTATCAGTGAACATTCCAATTCAGATATATTCAAGATCTCGTATTTGAGTTTTGCAACCCAGATGCGTGATCTCTCATATTTGATGGCCGACTTCGTAACATGATGTTTTCTCCTACAATCCCGATTGTGCTCATATATTCGGAATTTCCGGTTCTGCCGAGAAAGGAAACAGTTAGTTTAAAATTCTATTTCAAATTAATATAGATATTGTGTAATTTACATACGTCACTCGAAGAATTTCTCTTTCTTTAGGATTAGGATCCAAATTATTGCGTAATTTAAAAATTTTTGGTGGTTTTATTAATGCTTTCGTTGCGATTATCCATGGATTTCGATATGTACGTTTTTGAATTGTTTCGGGTATAATCCAGTTTTGCGGCAATGTTATTTCCCTGCGACGCTCTGATTGTGATAAAATATTCATTTGTACTGATATGATACAATATTAAATAAATAAGTAAAACTAAAACGGTATTGCTCGTGTAATGTCCGTTTTTTTCCAAAGATACAAATATTAACTCTAGCTATACACACTTTTCTACCCCTAATATAAACACTCGGATCCATCCATATTTGTTAATAAAAGTGAACAAATTTACTAGAATTAAAATTTGAATGTTACGATTCTCTAACTTAAAAGTAATAACAGAGATAAAAGGGCTCGAAGGAATAAGCGCTTTCAGGGCACGCAAATTGTTCAAGAATATCTTTTAATATTCAAATTAAATTTATTGAAGAAACCGTAGAACATCTCTTTATCTCTGTTATTTATTACTAGAATTAACTAGAATATTCATAGGCTAGAATATTCATAATCAAATCTTATATTCAAGACTGTCTTAAGTACAGTCTTAAAAAGTCACGAATCAATCAGGGCCGATATTCATAATCGGTTCTTATTTTAAGACCGTTTTAAGTAATGTTTTAAGTCGTTAATGCGGCCCTATAATTGGTTCATGACATCTTAAGACTGTACTTAAGACGGTCTTAAATATAAGATCCGACTATGAATACCGACCAAAGGGCCGTATTAGTGTCTTAAGACATTATTTAAGACAGTCTTGAAATAAGAATGGATTATGAATACTGTTCATAATTTAATTGATCAACGCTTAATGAATTTGTTCACTTTTATAATTTTCATCTCATTTCAATTGACTCCCTGATTATAGCTACAAGACCTATCCATATGTTTACAGATCTATGATACAACTGTACACGCGCGCGCGCGCGTGCACACACACACACACACACACACACACACTTCGACAAAAGGACTTATGCACGAATATAGATGTTTATTTTTCCAATAAGATACGGGCCTATGATCTGCTTGATGACAAACGCTTCGAAATATTTTTGGTCAGTAAAATTCTTTTTTCCAACTGATTAATCAAATGATTTCAATCTATTTGTAAGTTTTATCAAGAGAAAACAAAATATTTGTGACTTCTTATCTGTCACTGTTTCCGACTTAATGATCCTTTTATCTGTTCGTAAAGTGCATGCATGTATGTGTCATATATGTTTACACGTGTACAAATGTAATGATTATAAGCAATAAACCTTTTTGAAATTCCTCCAAATAATAATCCTGTTGGTATATAGTCTTCATTGATTTTTCCTTGTTGTTTTTTATTATGATTTCATCTGGCACGATTTCCGGTAAAGCATTTCTTAAGTGAGGAAATTTCTCTCGTATCTATTTCCAATGATATACAATTATGATAGCATACAATCACGAATATAAAAATATTTGCATTTTTACTCTGTTTAAATTGTCGACTGGATCTTCGCTTCGTTCATTCTCAGATAGTAATCGATTTTCCAGTCGTGTGTGCAAATATTGTTTGTACGGTCTATTCAAGATGTTCACGGATGGCAAATATTTTGGTAATAATTTGTGCTTTGTTCTTTTACCTCTCTTTCCAAGATAATCTTTCTTATAAATCGTCACAAAATCTCGTAAGTCATCAATATCTTCAATTTCCATCACGTGAAGTGTTCGAGCACTTATTTTCTAAAGTTTTGTATATATTCTCTTTATAGAAATTTGTAAATATTACCAGAAGAATTATTTGCCGTATCCAGCAAACATAATAATGGTACTGCAATTGCTGATGTAAGCAGCAGTGTGTTTGGTTACTAGCTTGTGATTCGAATTTGCTTCATGTGTCAAATACCACAAAACAATAACGCTTTAATTGTTTTGCTGAATGTATGTATATATATATACACACACGAAGTCAGAAATTCCTTAATATACGAAGTTGTACATATATGTACCGAGGCATATTTAGAGCGTTCTTCCTTAGATATCTTTGCATTATGATTGTTAATTATATTATCGATAGAGTTGCTCTGATATATTTTAAGATTATTTTGGAACAATATCTTAAATAAATAAATAAATATAAAACTATAGTAATATAAATTATATA